GTATTTAATCTCCTGGTAGGCATTGCATGGGTAGCACTATCACAGGGCCAGTTTTTCATAAACATGGCAGCCTCCTGCTCTTGGGGCTCCCTATGGACGAATCTGTTATGTGCAGTCCACATGCAGGTTTTTAAAGATCCTGCTAGCGCAGGAGCCTTGATGGGAGATTTGGCAAGGCCAGGGATCTGCTGGCAAGGATCATCTACAAGGTGTCTCAGAGAGATAAGGACGGATGCACATGTGCACGTACCAAATGTGGGATCAGGGAGACAGGGCAACAACTAGATCTCAAAGGCTATGGCAGAGCTGTATATATGGGTTAAGAAACCTGAGTGAGAAGAAGTTTGAGTAGAGGTTTGAGGAGTAGCTTGGGTGGGAGCCATGAAAAGTGGGCTGGCATGAACTAGGAGAGGCTGAGACGAGACGAATGAGAAGCTAAGTCTGCAAGTGGAGATCAGTGGCGAGGGAGGGAAAGGGGGAATCTAGGAGATAGCGTGAAAACACATAAGGCTGTTTGTGCAGAAATGGTGGGAGGCTCCTCTTGTGTGAGTACTCAACACTAGCTTGGAGGGAGGGACACATGCAGAAGTTTGTTGTTCTCCTTCCCCTGATATCTTTTTTTTTTCTAAAAGTATGGTAGTCCATTGGAAGCAGCTTTGTTCTGCAAGTGTCCAGCACCATTTCCCTTTTCTTAAAAAAAAAAAAAAAAAGAAAGAAACTTCATTAACACTTTCTGCAATTGAGATTCTATCCATATATTTTTGGAGCCTGTTTCCTAACTTAAGAAGCAGCAAGCTCTGAACAATTTCAGGAACACTTAATTTTCTCACACTCTTCCATCAATTGGCTTCTCTCACTTCACCCTGTCTTAGCAGCAAGTTAGCAGGTTTTTCCCACGACCTCCACTATAACAAATATGTAAGTTTTGAATGAAAATAAATCGAGTACTTGGTCCATTCTGCACCAGGGAGCAGCCATCCTCTCAGAACCTTGTTTTCTGGTCATCACTTATCACCGTCTCCCTTCAGAAACCTTCTGGTAATACACTAGCAGCTCCCTGTGCTTTCCCATGGCATTCCTGCCAGTTTTCAGCTGTGCTCTTGGCCTCAGAGACTGGAAGAAAGGAGGATTTGAACTTCTCTTCCCATTAGCAACAGACTAGGGTATGCTCAGTTGCATTTCTCTGTTCAGTCATCCACCTCCTGAACAGCTGTTACAGAAAAACAACTTCAGAAATGCTAAATAATAACAAATTAACTGGTCTTTCTACAAGACTGGCTGAGACTGGGCCTCCTGGCTCTATTGTGGTCTCATGTAAGTCAGAAATGCAGAACTGGCATCAAAATTGTAATGGCCTGAGGGACCATCTAATAGCATTGTGTGGGAAACTGCAGTATTCCCGACCGAGCCTGTCCCTTCCAAGCATCAGGATAGAGTATGCAGGCAAGAAAAACATGAATTGATTTTATTTCCACGAGTTGTATCCTGCTTGAGACTTGAAGAATTCGAACATTGGAAAGATAAATCAAACTATAGGTAATTGAGTTTCTGGCCCAACAGCCTATGTCTATATTATTTTCTTGCAGAAAGGCTGAAAGAACTATAGGGAGGAAAACAAACTCGGGGGGACGTTGCAAGGTACAAACAGCCATCTTGGGACTACAGGGCGGTTCTCCGCTTGGCGGGCAACACAAGGAACGGGGTAACGGACGGGACCGGCGCGGCGGCGTGGAGGGAGAGCAGGGCTGCCGTAGCTCTCGGGCCGCGCTGACGCTCCCCAGCAGGCAGCTCCGCGGGCGGGCGGGAGCCAAGCGCAGCCCCGCGCCTCACGGGGCGCAGGGGCACCGCCAGCACGGGCGACAAAGCCAGGGGCCGAGAGCTCCCGCCTCACGCAGCCCGGGGCAGGCGGCCGCCTCCCCGCCCAGAGGGGCGAGATGAGGCGGGCACAGGAGGGCCGCCCGGTTCCGCAAGGCCCGCGGCCGGGCACCGCTCACCCGCGGAGAACCCCGGCCACCCAACGAATCGCCGCGGCTCGCTCGCCCCCGCCTCACGCCCGAGGGAGCCGCCGGGGGCGGGGCGGGGCGGGGCGGGGCCGGGCGCGGCACCTCCCCCCCGCGGCCGGGGGCGGGGCCCTTCTCCTTTGCGCCATGATGAACAAATGACCTCGCGGGGAATGAAATTTAAGTTCCACCGGGGGGAGAGAGTTCTCTGCTTCGAGCCCGACCCCACCAAAGCCAAAGTGCTCTATGATGCCAAGGTGACCGGCTGTGCGCGACCCTGCCCTCCCGTGCCCCCCCCCCCCCGCCATCCCCTCCCCGCCGCGGGGCCCCGGGGGGGGGGGGGGGTGGGGGGGAGGAGGGCGGGGCCGGCGCGGAGCCCGGCCCGCGGCCGTTGCTGCCGTTAACGCTCCCCGGCGGGCGCGGCGCGCAGCGGGGTGGGGGGAAGCGGGTGCAGGCCTCAGCCGAGGAGGTGGCGGTTCCGCCGGCAGCACTTGTTGCGGAGGCCGGGGGGGGGGGGGGGGGGGGGGGGGGCAGCAGGCGGAGAGGCCGTGGGGCGGGGGCCGCCCGCCGTCACGGGGCTGGGAGACAAAGCGAGGAGGCGCCCATCGCCGCCGGGCCTCTTCTGCCCTCCGGCCTTGCGCCGCTGCCATCGCTCCCCGGGCCTCTCTACCCGCTCGGCCCACCCCGTTACCGGCTCCTCCGCCGCGGGGGTGCGCTTGGCAGCTGTGCGGGAGCCTCCGGGCCCACCCCCGCGGGGTGACAGGCGGTGGGGGCCCCGGCCGTCGGGACCCTGCTCTCGCCTTAGGTGGAGAGCGGAGCCGCCGAGGGGCTCGGGAAGTGTCGGACACCGCTCCCGCCTTCCGTTCGCGGCTGAACACCTGCATAGTAATCGTGAAATCTTACTTTTCATCCCTGAGCTTTCATAGCGCAGCTTAGTATATCCTTCCTCCCTGCACTCCTACCGTTCCTGCCCGCCCTTCTGCCTTTCGGAAGGATTTCAGTGGTACCGACGGTACAGGAGCGTATACAGCAATATGATAGCAAGCAGTGAGCAGTGGACCTTAAGTGTTGCAATAAGGTGTCTGACTCACTTGGGCCCGGCCTTAAGAATCAGTGATAGTCATTGTAGAGCATTATGTAGATACAGTATTGGTTTGGTTATCAGTGGAAAGTGAAATAATTTTTTCAATCCTAAATCATCTGTACCTAACTTGCAGAGTTCTATTTTACTGTTTTTGTTGTAGAGAGGGCTAAAAAGTTACATATTGCAATTGGATTCCTGACTAAGTAAATACTTCTTGATGCAAGTTTTCTAGTTGTGTAGATCACTGTTTTTCAAACATCTTTGATCAGGAACTCTGCCTTCCTGTAATATTTTGGGCTGCTTTTTTGTTTGTATGGGTATTCCTATGTTCTGACCGCCTCAACAGCTTTAATTGCCAGTCCTAGAGGTAACCTGAGTGCAAAAAATAATACTGCCTTTTCTTCTTTACTTTCAAATACCCCAAATTCCAGCATAACTGGCCTTGATTCCATCAACGGTTCTTAAATTCTGGACTCCCAAGTTAAAACATTACTGTACCCTTACTGCTGGGTTCATTGGGAGATAGATGGCCTATGAGAGCCATTCAGGTGCATGCAAAATGATTCCTTTGTTACTGCTGTTCCTAAGGATCCACCTGAAATGTCTGTTGAGGTGCAGGCCCTTTCAGACTGGCTTTTTACATGTGTGAAAGAGAAGAAAACAAAGGCTCACGTATACACAAAGCCCTTTAATGTTTTGTGGCTGGGATTCAGTGTTCAAGAGGGCAGCATTTCTGATATTTGTATACATATAGAACTTTGTTGCCCTTGCTTTGAGGGCGTAAAGAGACAGCACACAGGAGAAAACGTTAGCAGCCCAGATGTATATCTGCATATCTGTATTGTGATACTGCATTGTTTTGCATCTCCCTTTGCCTGTCTTGAAATCAGGGGACATGTGAGGACAGGACAAAGATGCATAGCAGTCACCAACCTTAAAAGCGCTCAACAAAAGAGATAGTTTTTCTGACCATTTAGTATAATCCATATCTTATATTAATATTCGCTGATAAAATTAAAGGTATATTTAATTTCTGTTAATAAACATTTATTTCTGTGCATAAATTCCCTAAATACTGGAAAGCTCACTTTCTCTCAAGCTTTTAAATACATGCTATTCAATATTTGTTTCAGATTGTTGATATTGTTGTTGGAAAAGATGAGAAAGGCAGAAAGATTCCAGAATATCTGATCCATTTTAACGGTTGGAACAGAAGGTAAGAACCTGTATATGCACAGTTTTGGTTCTTCCATTTCTTCTATCTTATTCTGAAAAGAAAAGCATTGCACAGAATATCAAAGGACTTTGATGTCTGCGTGAATATCTCTGGTTTTGTGAAGGCCTTTAATATACTTGCTCATGTTGACACATTGGTCTGTATCCATACATTTCAGTGGATCAGTTTGATAGCCATGAACTTCATGGGATATCTGCCTTTGGCATATACTTGTGGCTCCTAGGTTTTCATTAATAAAGGGAATTTATACTTTGTTAAATCTAGACCTGGATTGTTTGGCTATTGAGGCCAATACATGAGTGCAGTCCCTGACTGATCTATAGCATGTGTCGGTGCTAGAAACACTGTCGCATCTTAAGTCAAGGTTTGAGAGATTTTAAAATAGCAGCAGGAGAATTGAAGCAATGTGAACTCAAAAGGCTGCAAACCTTGTGATACAGTTGTTGCTTCTGAATTACATTAAAAGAGTGCTTTTTAGATTTAATGTAGATTAATTAATTAGTAACCACAAGTGGCATGTGTTCATAGCCGTTAATAATTTTCTTTTGACCTATCCTTAGCTGGGATAGATGGGCAGCTGAAGATCATGTTCTTCGTGATACAGACGAAAACCGCAGATTACAGCGTAAATTGGCACGGAAGGCTGTGGCTCGCATGTAAGACATCCTTTTGGTCTTGAATGAGAGATTCGTTTTCAGATTCACACACATACATCCAGGTGTCTACGAGTGAGCTTGGCCTCTTCAGCTCATGCTGTAGATATCTACTCAGTTCAGTCAGTGCATTCTAGAGAGCTACTCTTCTGATACTAAGGTAGATACCTACATATTGTTATTAATCAACACTCTAAATGACTAACACTTAATAACTATGTTATTCTTAACTATTTCTGCAAAATTCTGCAATATTGGATCTACATCTTCCCAAAGAAATGTACTTGAAAAATAACTTAGGAAAACCTGAAGTATTTTTCAGCCAAAGGCAATAATCTAATATTGGTTGGCCATGGCTTGAGGATCTGCTTGAGAACACGAATATGAGGTAATGTACAGATGTTAAGGTATCCACTCTCAAATAAACATTGTCCAAATTATTTCAGCGTTAATTAATGAAAATAACTCAAACATATGTTTCCTGTGCATTTGCATGTTATGTAATTAGCTAGGATAAACACATTATATTAGCTAAGTTTCAGTGAACCGTATTATGTTCTGTAGGAGAAGAAAGGGAAGAAAGAAGAGACGTTGCAGGTTGCCTGGTGTTGACTCTGTATTAAAAAGCCTTCCCTCTGAAGAAAATGATGAGAGTAGCGGAAACTGTGAGTTTGTTTTCATTCTTTGATAACTGGCATGATGCCTTTTAAGTTTCTGAGCTAGGGGTACAGTGGATTCTGTAACTTGCTATTATGATGACATGAGAGCATCACAGTCCTATTTAAAATATACAGAGGCAGTGATAGGAAGAGCAAGCAATATGTTTCATGCTAAGCATCTCTTAAGAGGGCTCCTTTCTTCCTGTATTCCAGAGGCTTTTCCTTATATCATATACACTCAGCTATTCTAATCGGAGATTCCAGAGCTTAATGCTCTTTTGTTTAGTGTAAAATTATTAGGTGCAAGAACCCCTCAGTTTTCTTTGGTTGGTGTTACGAAACAAGACACTTGCCCTGCTAGTGTTTCTACATATTTTAGGGGGCAATAAGATTTTCTTTTCCCCCAGTTTACCTGGCACAGAGGTCTGTTTCTTGTCAGCTGACTGGCTGATTTCACTCTCAAGCCAGCCCTTTCATTTCATAGCATTTTTCTTTGTTGCTTGAAAGCCAGCAGGAACACTGGCTGGCATGTAACTTATGTTCTGACAACTACTGCTGCCCAGATTCAGACCTTCTGATTGAATGATTAATATGTTAATCCCTTGTTCAGAACTGAAGTTCAACAAAAATTGAAAAGATCTATGAGTGTTCAGAAATGTAGGGAGCTTTTAAAAGTGAGTGTTTTTCAGTTTGAGAGGATGCAAAAATACCTCCTCTAAACTTCGTCTTCTATATTTAAAAAGTTTATAGTGTGCTGTAAATGATACTTGTGTTTAATTCAGTTAGAATTATTCATCCTTGTGTAGTTTGGTGTTTTGATTATTTGTTTTGTTTGTTCTTTTTAGTTTGGGCTTTTTTTTTTTTTTGTTTTTTTGCGTTGAGGCCTGGAATTGTTTGGTCTTACCTCTACAGTGTAACAATGTGAGATAAATATATGAAATCTCTTTTACACAGCTATAAGTAGTTCTTCTTCTGATGACAGTGATGAAGGAACAGATGAAGAAATAAAAAGTGAAGAAAGTGACATAGAAGAGAGGACAGAAATGGTATGTTCATGAGCTCCTTAACTTAATGGAATTTAAACATCTGTATTTGAAACTCCGGAAAAAATGAGGTAGATGAAATACAGGTCAACTGATTATTTAGCTGGAATTAAAAGCACAATTTTCTTCCTCCTAGTGCTGACTGTGGTTGAGTTTTTTGAAACTATGGATGTCATATTCTTGTAGAATTCTTTGTTATTAATCTTAAAATACGCATTTGTTTCTTTTCCTCTCTTTCTACCTATAAGGCTTATGTGGAGAAAAACATAACAAACTAGATTGTCTGGATTTGTGAGTGATGTAAAATTTAACTGGTCTGTGTAGGTTGGACAGATCCTAATAGCAGCAGGATCTTTCTGGCTTTTGAATTTTACTGTGAAACGGGCACGTCAATTCTGCTTTTAATGTGGAAGACTGACTTCAATAAAAAACATTTGTTTTCTCTACATTATCAAAAAGAAAGCACAGCTTAAACAGTTGTTCTGGAGGTCTGTGGAATCTAACTACTACAGTCTGGGTGACTGAAGCAGCAAAACCTAACAAATTCCTGTTCATTCTTTTGTGTTAAATACTTAAGCAAATGCTAAATTTAAAAAAAAGTCTTAAAAAATGAATTCACAGATGACTTCAATATTGTTAAATTGCTTACAGTAAGGTTACTATCCACTTAAATATTTACTGTAGTTTGTATATTTCATTTTTGCATGACAAAACTTGATTGTTATATTGTATACTGACTACTGAAGTTCTTTTTCACTAATATTCATAAGCACAGCCAATATATTGGTTTTTGCACTTGTCTGTTGTAGAAAGAAGAACAAGACACTCACACAAAAAGGGACATGGAAGAAAGAGCAATAAGCATAGAAATTCCTGAAGTCTTGAAAAAGAAGCTTGAGGAAGACTGTTACTATATTAATAGAAGAAAACGGGTATGAAATAAAAGCTATGAAATGAATATGCACCAAAAGAAGTTCTTGCATATAACAAGTCATGGTTTTTGAGCTTTATTGCAAATTTGATCTTAAACAGTATAAGGAAGAATAAAGAAGGTGTAGGGAGCAGACTTAGCAGACTATAGCTAACAGAGTGATTTGTAATTATATTTAAGAATGTAGCATTTCAGTACCCAATTGTGTTTTAGAGTGCAGGTTGTTTTTTAAATCTGGAAATGTAGTAAGCTTGTTAATCTGACCATATTTTTGTTTCTCCAGATGTTGATTGATCAAAAATGCAGTTTAAGAGTTCAAATTAATCACTCCTGAAATAACTTAATGCGGTAGAGATTTATTAAACTAATCACGACGTTACAAGCTTCTGTTTTAACTTTGTATTCTTACTAATTGTTTTTGTAAGACATTAATTTGTTGTTTCTTTTTCAGCTAGTCAAGCTTCCTTGTCAGACAAATATAATAACCATCCTGGAGTCCTATGTGAAACATTTTGCTATTAATGCCGCTTTTTCAGCCAATGAAAGATCTCGGCACCATCAGATGACTCCACATGCTAATATGAATCTTCATTATGTGCCACCAGAGAAGAAGTAAGTAATCTTTAGTTCAGCGCTACTGTCACAAGATGAATGACCTTGCATTCTGTGTTCTGTTTCAAGGCTGTTCACTTCTGTGAGCTTACACTGCGCCAAATGTCTATTTTTGGGACTTAAAATACTTGACGGATACCTATAGTACAGCAACACTGATAGTTTGTTTCTCAGTGAGAGAGTTGCTATAATCTGAAAAGTCATTATGCAAAAGCATCAGTATCCCCTTTTATCATGTAAGTTCTTGTGAATATTGTGACCCATTTTAGAAGAGTATGTTGCTGTTGTCTATGTGAAGATATTTTTGAGCACCGAGAGAGTATCTGATGTGAGAATTCCCTGCTTCAATAAAACTGAACAGGTTCAAATTTTATGAAGAACAAAAATTTTATACAAACACTTGGAGAACTCCAGGCACAGGTGATGTTTTATTTTTTGTAATTGACATATCTAAAATACTAGAGTCAATATGCAGGGTAACGGGATGTGTAGTAACACCAGTTCTGTTTATTAAAACTGATTGCATCTTGGTTGCTCTTTTCTCCTCCAAGCTGTATATTCTTCTACGATGCTACAAATGTAGTGTATTAACCCTGCATGTTTGCAGTGTGAGGTTTTTTTTGTTTGGTTGTTTTTTGTCTTATGTTAAAGATTCTCAATATTAGATGAGACTTTTTTTTTTTATCCAAGTCTGCACTGAGGTGAAATCTTGTATTTTATCAAAGAAAAATCTTGACTTTTGTTACCATGTTCTATTTCAATGGTGCATAGTTATGCTATTCCTTGCAATATTTTGGTTGGTGTGAGTGTCTTGGTTTATGTTGATGTCATCCATTATTTGACAGATTAATGATACTTTCCTTCTTTGTAATGTAATCTCTCAAACAAGAAGTTAGACAAGACAACAGAAATATGAACAGAAGGTTGCACACACATTATGATTTTTAAAGGTGTATGTTTAAGTGACTTCTTCAATAATGAAGGTGGTTTAATAAGGAAAATGTGTGCAATTTCAACGATCTGTTAGGTAGGAGAGATTCAGCTGACAACTTTTATTGCATTGCCCTTACTGCTCTAACACAGAAGGTAATTGACCTTTTCAGATGTGATAGAATTTCTACACATGATGGTCCCCTGAACCAATTTATATATAGTGTTTAAAAAAAACAAACCACAAAAGCAGTAGTTTTAGTAAGTGGTGTGGAATGATAATAGGTGGTATGGAATATCTAACATGGGTCGTTGTGGCAGGATCAAATTACTGTTAGCACACACATCTATGCATTTGAAGCATAAGAAATGAATACCTTCACAGAGGTGAGAAGTGTTGGAGGTGGGCTGGATTCAGTGTTCTTGGTTCTGCTTGTAACAGCACATCTACTCACCACCTAGCACCATGAGTGTTTTACACAAGCCCAAAACTGGAATTCCTAGGAGGCTCTAAACATAGTGCTTTGGTTATCAGGAGCAGGCCTTTGGAAACTGAGCTCCAGTGCAAATGTATCTGTTTTCCATGGTTCACTGGATATTTCTTAAGCACAGCCTTAACTGCATCTTAGCAGCTATAGATCAAATTCTGCATATGCCTTTTAGACAGAGAATCAATTTATTGAATACTTTTTCTGACAAGTGTCTTTTTTTTTGAGCCTTGTAAATCTGGAAAAACAAAATAATGCTTACATGAAAAACTAACTAACTTTATTTACTGTAAAGTAGATTTTACTGATCCAGTAAATAGTAATACAACAGAACAATTGTATGATTTTGTTGGACCTTATTAAGCAGACTTTTAAAAGTTGTATTTGTCTGAAGTTACCTACAGCAATCACTGTCTCTTCAAGTATGCTTTTAACCACTCTTCATTACGTAGTGATGAAGTCAGCATATTGTAGTTAAGATGTCGATCTGTATTAAAACGGAATTTCCTATGACTGCACTGAAAGATTTTGACGTGCAGCTTTGAAATTCATAATCCTTTTTTTTTTTTTCCCTGTAGTGTTGAGCTGTGTAAAGAGATGGTGGACGGGCTGCGAATAACCTTTGACTTCACTCTTCCATTAATTTTGCTCTATCCTTATGAACAAGCTCAATTTAAGAAGGTGACTTCATCAAAATTCTTTCTTCCCATCAAAGAAAACTCATCAAATACTAACAGGTCAGTTGGGTATATGGAGTCTGATACTGCTTATCTCCTGAGCAAAATGCAGTAGAACGTGGTTATGCGTTAAGAATTGGATGATTTCTCACAGACTTTGACTTAAATCATCTTGATAAAATGTTGAACTTTTCTGTGAAATGCTTGCCTGAATTTAGGTTCTGAATTTCTATCTGGTTAACTTCAAAAGGGGTTTGTCCTGACTGGTGTAGAATTACGCTGCAGCTTTGTGGGGGGAAAAAAAAATGACATTGAAATGTAGACTTGTGTTCATTAGCTTTTAAATTTGAAAATAAATATGCCTTCGGAAAATAGTATTTAGACGAAAGTCTCATCCTGTTGATAGTTATTGGGAGGAGACTGTCTGATTTGAGTAAGTATTTAACAAGATCTGTGAAGCTAAAATAGAAGTATCTCCTTTGGGGGAAGAGCCCTGATCCCTTCACTTTTGTAAAGCTGTCTTTGTTTCCTAGAAATCAGGAGGAGCTTTCCCCGAGTCCTCCTCTGTTGAATCCACCAACGCCTCAGTCAACCGACAGCCAGCCTGCAACAGGGGAGCCAGCCACGCCAAAAAGGCGAAAAGCTGAACCTGAAATTCTGCAGTCGCTGAGACGTTCTACACGCCACAGCTCGAACTGTGACAGGTTATCAGAAAGCAGTGCTTCCCCACAACCTAAACGACGGCATCTTGAGACCCCAGCTTCTATGCCAAAGCTATTCTTGCACCTGGAAAAAAGTAGGTTTTGCTCTTTAAATTACTGCTGTAAACAAGATTTTAAGTCTTGTTCTTTTTTGTTTTTTCAATGGCATCTGTACTGTGAACAGAATGATTGAAGTAGGAATTAATTAAATTTTGTATTATTTATCTCTGAAGCTTATACCAAAGGGAGAAATACAAAGCAATATTCTCGGTACTTTAGTACTGTAATTCTCAACAGAATTCAAGGAGCTGCTTTTCTGTGATCTTACTTTAGGATAGCATTTATTGAATTCCAGTGTTTTAAGACTGCAAACGTTTTAGCAGCAGGTCTTAGTTACATTTAATGGCTTATAGTTCCATAAAACAGATAATAAAATGTATTTCTGATTTCCTTTGTTTTGTTTTTCCTTCCCTTTTGAAGAAACCCCTGTCCATAGTGGATCATCTTCACCTATAACTTTGACTCCTAGCAAAGAGGGGAGTGCGGTTTTTACTGGCTTTGAAGGTAGAAGAAACAATGAATTGAATGAGGTAATATTTTATGTTACTGTCCTAGGTTCAATGATTAAAGGTTTTGTTGACCTCAGAGTAGGTCTATGTAAGAGAAGGTTTTGTTTGTATTACTTGTTTCATCTTTGATTTTGAAGTTCTGCACAGACTAAACTATTTATGGTGCTATAAAGATTTCATAACCAACCTTTTCATGTCTTATGTTTAGGTTTTGTCCTGGAAACTGATGCCAGAGAATTATCCACCAAGTGATCAACCACCACCTCCCTCATATATCTATGGATCTCAACATTTGCTACGGATGTTTGGTAAACTAATGCAAAACTCTGTGCTGAATCAGAATGTCCTTATTTGCATATTTTTTTTCTGTGGTGTGGTGTTTTGGTTTTTTTTTTTTTTTTTTCAGTGATCATATCAATGTGATTTTTTGTTTGCTTTATCACATTTAGTTTTATTCTTGGAGAAGTGTACATTTTAATCTGTTTAAAACTCTCAGGCTGTTTATAAACTTGGTTATCTCTTACTGGTTCTGTAAGCCTTCATTTAACAAAAGCAAACAAGCATTTTTACTTCCAATACACTATCAAACATCATTAAACCAAGCAGCATTCCCCTTCTCAGCATGTTTCTTTTTAGTAAGGTTTTGAAAGATCACTGAGTAACTTGCAAAGAAAAGTGGAAGCTGCAGGGAGAACAATTTTTTTTATTCTTATCTGTATAGTGGATAAAAGAAGGAGTTGCTCTTAAAAGAACAGTTGTAAACATTATTTCTCTTATTTACAGTAAAGCTACCAGAAATACTGGGGAAGATGTGCTTTCCTGACAAAAACCTAAAGGCTTTAGTAAAACACTTCGAAATGTTTCTGAGGTAATGTGACACAATGTACCATAGTAGTATTTGCATTGTGGCATATATCTAAGTGTCCTGTAATGACAAAGGGTTTTAAAAATAATATGTTATTTTCCTATAACTGTAAGAATATTATAAAATTAAGATAAGATTATAATAATAACGATTTGAATAAAGATTAATACAAGATTTTTGATTCTGTAATTCAAATTGAAGGGAACCTGAACTCCTTACTTAAAGTTTTGTTAAACACAGTGATAGAGAACTGAAGTATAAAAGTTTATTTGCTAGTATATGTAGAATGACAAGTCTGACTTGGTTAAGAAGCATGTTTTATGAAGAAATACAATCTCTGCATTGTTTTGAGAACATAATCTGAGAGTTCTGATGTTGCATTGATATTAGCAGGGGGGAAAATATTGTGGTTTAGCATATGTTTTTAATTATGGTTGTGTTTTGGTTTTTTTTTTTTTGGTTTTTTTTTTTTTTTAAAGGATATTCTGTCCTAACTGAGCTTTAAACAGAAAAGTTTATCTGTTATGCAAAGCAGTGGCTTTTAGAGGAACTCGAACTCTTTCTGACCATGCTAGCAGAGTCAGTATGGTCATACCTGCACCATGATCAGCTGCTTTGGGTACTCTAGTTAATATCTCTGCATGACATTGTAGTGATAGTTAGACACCTAGTGTGGCACTACGTTGTGCAGCAGCAATACATGGAAAATACATTTACCAAGGAAAACTTACAGGAGAAAGTGTTGTAAATGGTAAACATCTGAAACAAGTATGGAACTCTTAACTTAATTTTGGTCAAAGGCTTTTAAGTAGCCACATAGGGAAAAGTAACATAAAGTGACGCTAGCATATCAAAAGTGGTCCAAAAAATTACATTTACTAGGAACTGTTCAGACTTGATTTTTATCACAGAAATACTTGCGCGTTATTTGTTTCTCATTGCAAGAGAAAACTTAAGGCTGAGGTGACATCTTGTACTAGTTTTTTAGTTTTCACGTTATGTCTTTTCCTTTTTGGGAATGAAAGCATTAATGGATGTTTATTAAAAATATTTTCTATCAGTTCTATTCTGGCTTATCTTTTGAAAGGTAAGAAGTGTCCTACAGAGTCTGTATGCATTAGATGGTAACAGCCAGTTTACTTAAGACTGACTAATTTCTTTTAGTGAATTGCTCTTGAGTGACAAGCTGAAGTACTATGCTTTTCTTTATTTTTCTAATAACAGACAAGGGATTGAATTTATTATTAATAAAACTTTCTGAATCTTTGAATCTGAAGTAGAGTAGTCCAAGTATAAGTAGTTTATTTATTTTTTAATAAAACTTACATGTGATACACAATGATTTAGTTCTGGCATAGTTACTGATTTAATTTTTTATTATGATTTTATGGCTAAAATTTACAGTTTCATTTAACATTTGTACTTTAAAATCACGTGGGCTGAGAAACTGAGACATATTTAATATAACACTTAGTCTAGAAGCTTGTTTTATTGAGTTTACTCAGACCTTGATAGATGCATTAAATTCGCTTTGAGATGCTACATGGGTAATATTTTCCAGTCATGCCCTCAGATTTCTGCTGGACAGGATTGATCTCTGTTTCCTAGACAACATATATCTTTAAGGGATGTATGAAATGCATCTTTTTGAGTTTCATATTAAGTAGGAGCCATACCTTTTGTGCTTAGTGCAGCTTTCTACAAGTATAAATAATGAAAATTTCTTCACCGGGACCATGGAAGTTGATTTCTCAGGTGCAGAATTTGCCAAAGTAGAGAAACTCATTTTCTTCAATTAAGTACAAAACTCTTAGTCTTCACTTGAAGTTATGTAGCTCTGAAATAATTCATACTACTTACAGAAGAATAACAGTCTGAAATGGATGTTAGTGACAAACTCGCTGGTTGGTTTCACTGATTTTCACTTTGAGTTTAGTCTTCAGGAGCAAGCAGTGGAAGCTAGTACAGTAAGTGGTGCCTACTAACTGGTAATCTTGGTAGCTAAGGACCACCGATTAAATCTTCCTGCCTGTTAATAGTTTTTGAGGTAGAGTAAGTATTGCCTTTTGACTAATTCTAGTATTTCACCCGCATTTTTAATAAAATGCTGTATGTGCTGTGTTTTACAACTTCTCTGTATTGTGAGGTGCTTAGCATGCCTCCAGAGGCTGCTTAAGTGATGAGAAGTGATAGGCAAGAAGGTGCCAGTTTTTGGTTTTTTGTTTCCATTGATTTGAACACAGCCTTGACTTGGAAAACTGTTTCGGGATCAGTGGGTCACTTCTCAGGACTGATGACCAATAGGTGATACTTAAAAATTAGAAGAATATAACATGTCTGGTTTTAGAATAGAAAGACCCATTTTACCTGAGGTAATTTCAGTCAATATTATTTGCATTTTAGGAAAAAAGGCTAAAGAAAACGGTATAGCACTTCAGAAAGCCATAGGTATTTTGACTTTAATGAAATACAGAAGAGTAAGTGATGAAATATTTCTAAAATAATACTTCTAGAATTTCTAGTACACTTTTCCAGATGAGGCCAATGTGTAGTATTTCAGATTGTGGAAAACTCCATTCTTAATGATCAAAAACCCATTGATATTTCAAACTCAGTGTATCCTGCAGGTTGTCTCTTTCATTTTTAGACGTTGTTTTTTTTCCTGATGTTTTACAACCTACTTATATCTGTTGTGCCACTCGGCTTCATGAGTAGAAAAGTATTTTAATACTGCTGAGTATTCTCTGAAAGGAAGCCAAATCAGAATGTGACCAAATTAGAGGGGGCTGCGATAATAAAATGTGTATATAGAAAGATGACAAGTTGTTTGAAGTAACCTTAAGAAATAGATCTCTGGTTTGATAGCACAACGTTTTCTGACTATAGGTTACTGTATGTGTAATTGCAGTGGTGAATTATGACCACTAGTCTGTGCTAATGTGCAATTAATGAGAGGTTATTGGTTGCTTTCTGACAGTGAAAAAGTGAAGCATTGCACATGGTGAATAGCATAGAAAACATCTTTATTTAGGTGAAGTCTTCTGTGGCAGAGTTCTTCCTCATTGTGACTTAATAAAGTTGCAAGATGGCAACTGACTAAAAATCATTTTTTGAAAGATCACAAAGAATACAGTTCTGCTGCTGTTTCTTATATTGATTAGGGTTTTTCTATTTGCCTCTCAAATTTAGGATTAACAGTTTACTTGACAAAAAGTACCTGTGCAGCACAGCAATTATGACATACTAGAAAACTTTTTGGAATCGGAGGCTAAATGTGGGAAAATCACGGTTCTGAGTTTTGTTGTGGTTTAGACCCAGCCAGCAGTCAGACACCACGCAGCTGCTCGCTCACCCTCCCTGGCCCAGGGGATGAGGAGGGAATTGGAGGAGTGAAGAGAGACTTGTAGACGGAGATAAAAACAATTTAATAAATGAAATAAAATAAGTTAATAATAAAAAGTACAAGTGGGTAATGCACCATGCCATTGCTCACCACCTACCATCGATACCCAGACCGTTCCCAGCTCACGATCCCAAAATACCGAGATCCCTCAATCACAATCCCAGAAGTGAGAGAGAATCCCCCCCTTCCCGGCCACCCCTCCTCTGTATACTGAGCATGATGTTGCATGATATGGAATATTTGATTGGCCAGTGTGGGTCTGATGCTCTGGCCGTGCTCCCTCCCCACTTCTTGCACACCTGCGCACAGGCAGGACATGGGGAGTTGGAGAGTCCTTGATCTCTCAGTAAAAACTGAAAACATCAGTGTGTTATCAGTATTGCTCTCATGCCAGATCCCATATTGAATCTAAAACACAGCACTGTCCTAGCTACTGAGAAGAAAAATTAACTCTGTCCCAGCTAAAACCAGGACAGTGACAGTGGGCAGGTGTGGGACACAAAAAGGTAAAGGGACTTTTAAACAAGATTTGCAACATATTGAAGCAATTCTACTGGCAGAGTGAATGTATATTGCCTTATTTTAGGGCATTATTACAGTTGTGTTTGGGCTTTGCGGTATTAATTGAACGGGTAGAAAACTGCCATTTTGGGTCCTCAAACTTGTGGCACCTTTATGTTGAAAGGTTCTTAGTCAATGAGTACCTGGTATTGTACAGGTTATTATTTTCAGTAGGCTTTTGTTGTCTGGTTGGTGTGCAGAATCTGCTAGTGCGTGCTTATTGTTCTTGACTAAGGTTTGATTGCTTTTCCAAAAATACTTCCTGAAAATGCATGATGTGGATTGCTTCTCTTCCTTCTTAGAAAATGATCAGGTGCCTGGGTATTTGTATGAAGAGCACATTCCCAGTCATAATAGCAGAGGTTTGGATCATGCATCTGGAGTGAGAGGTTGCCCAAAATATTCTAAGTGTTACGGTAGCTTTTCTAGAAGGTAGCTCTAGCAATTGGTTCTGGGATCTCTGCTGGCCTTGCCAAAAGTGAGTCTTTACCTCAAGACCAACCAAGGATTCCTGTGCTGAGCTCTCGTAGGACTGTTTTCCCAAAGGGTCTACTAGAAGTTACCACTTTGAATTTTCACTCACTCAGCCTGATTACCTGAAATATTGTATTGGCAGTTTGGCATCTTCAGAGTTCTCTGCACTTGCCCTTTAAAGGGCAAGAAAGATGATCTGGGTTTCTGTAGGTGGATGAGTGGCAAGAATCCAGTCAACAAAACAAGCCGGTTGGTTCTTGAGACACTGGGTATCAGAATAAATATCCAAAACTTTTCACTTCACTTGTTCTGTTGACTGCACTGGGGTTGCGATGAACTTTGTGTTGGTGAGCTTTTGCCACGAGCAGCCTTCCAGATGGAGATGTGCCTGTTGTTGGAGGGGTTGGGGAGCAGGTGGTAGTGTATGCTTTTGTGTGAAACTAAAACATTTTAGCTTTCAAATCCTGCATTTGAGTAGCAGGAGATAGCTTCTTAATCTGCAGATGACATTTCTTTTGATGAGGTGACTCAGAGTTAGGACCCATTGTGCGCTTTAAGCAAATTCCTTTAGATAGATTGTTACAGTTGCCTTTCAAACATCATCTAGCCCAGGCCACTGATCTCATCAAAGCATCTGCTTAACTTGTAAAACTTAGAGCTGTAGCGAAAGTGTGTAAGATGTCATCTTCCTGGAAACTTTTCCTTTTAACTCTGTATTCTTATACCTTTGTGGCTGAGGTCATCCTTAAAATTATTAAGGTTTTCCTTTCTTTGTAATATTCATGCTTTTCATGCCATCCCTGAGTTTATTCATGTGGTGGTAGCTGACGTTTAGAAGAGTGGTTTTCTTCATTCAGAGACTGCAGGTAATAGGTTGTGTTGATGCTGCCAAGGCAAGGATGTTTTTTGCTACTAGATGAGACTTTTAAAGCTCATATTAATTCAGTGACTCTGAGAAACATTCTTGACATATATATGTCAAGTGGCCTCTTAATGTGGATAGTGATAAATCTATGCCACTTTTTGGTAGATCTTCCTGTGTAACTCTCAGCCAGATGGTAGTATATTTGTGAGGCTATTGCTTGGAGTCACGTGAGGTAATCTTGCTTACAGACTGCTACACCTGAAGATCACAATACAGGAATTCCTCAAGCTAGGTTGCCCCTGTGTCTGTTTCCCTTGTCTCCATCCCCTCTAGCACTTTCTGAAGTGCCGTTCTTCTAGGAACCTGTGGTAGAGAGCAAAATATCTGCATTGTGCCCTGTTACCTCTATGTTCGGAGCAGGAGTTTAAGGCATAAGTATTCTTTTTGTGGATGCTCATGATGAGAAAAATGTGTGCAGTCTTACATCAGGGTGTTTGTGTGGACTGTGCATCTCAAAACTCGGCTACTCATAAGCAGTTTCACTCTGTAGGTGTACACGTATGAACTCTGTAAAAAATGTTTTTCCAAGAGCAAAGCATTAGTAAAATATCCAGTAGCTAAGAGTCTTACAAGACTGCTAATATTTCTGTGCCAACTTTCTGCACTGCCATGTAGTTTGAATTGAAAGCAGCTTTAGAAGGGCCACTGCTCTTTGTATACAGATATACAAGGGATTGGGACAGAAACTGACCTTGTGTTCTTTTGCCTGTTTCCTCCCGCTTCTCTGCAGAAAGTAATTTGTATTTGCTTTTCAGAACTGTTACATTAAGAACAGAGAGATGTACATTTGACTACATGCATTCTGCTTGCCTTTTTTTTTTTTTTTTTTTTTTCTCTTATTTTTTGAGTTGTAGCTGTGCTACAAGCATCTCAGCTAAAATTTCTTATCTTTACCAGCTGTCATTTTAGCTTGCAGCAAACTGGCATTTATGACTGATGATCTTAAGCAAAAGTCAGAAAAATCTGTAAGAGAACCTGTTTCCCATTACTTGCCCTTAAAATTCTTGGAACTGTCAGCTATCCAATGTCCTCTACAGGTTCCTTTGTTTTACTGATGTTCTTTTAAAACATTCTGCCTCATATGATCTTGCACTTGGTACTGTGTTTTATAGAGTGTTAGCCAATGACACTAAGAATTTGATCAGCCCCTGTAGTTTGTACTCACTATCACTTGAAGTCATTAATGTGTGTTAATGAAGAATTTTTAATAAAATTCAATTTGCAGCTCATCATAAGCTTGTGCAATTGAAGTACATTAAAAGTTAGACTCAAGTCTTAAATTTTTAGGCCTTTTCACACTCACTTCATACCAACCCCACATATCCCAGAAAGTGATTTGTCATTAACTACTGTCAGAGGTCATAGCACTTGATGACTCAGGTATTTTATTAGCTTCTAAATTGATATAATTTCTTTTGTAGTGGTTTCCCTAGAGTAAGGTGTGTGTGTGTAGTGCAAATGAATGACTTGTTTCACTGAAGATTAGGAGGATGACATTGGGTGAATTGTTTTTGTGTTTCTTTGGATTAGTTTCTAAGGGGTATCTAGCTCATGAAAAAAAAAGGCATTTTATGAAGTATTAGAGCAATTTATGGCCTGATAAGCCTAGAAAAGTAGGTGGTGAATGGTTTTAATGACAAGAGCTAGTGAATCACTAAGTAATGTGGTTCAAACAGTCTATTAATCAAATTGGTGGTTTTAATCTAGATTTGCCCCCCCCCCCCTTTTTTTTTTTGAGTTCAAGAAAAGAACAAAACTACTTTCTTCTGGTTCATTCTTTTGCCAAAGTTTAATTCATTTGAATTCACTCCTTAGTAATTTGCTGCATTGATTGTGACTGTCTTGTTCTTTTAGGGGAAAATAATTCACTGCTGGTTTTATTTCATTTATTTAAATGCCTTTATTTCTGTGAATAGGAAATTTGTATAATGGAACTGTAACATGCTATAATATTAAAAACAATTCTTTTGATTTAGCAAAGTAGTCTTCATAGATAATTTTAAAGAAAACTTCTCTCAACCTTAATTATGTAAACCTTTTTGCTTTGTGCTATTTAATACAATTGGAAGCTGTTGTTGGACCCAATGAGAAAATAGCACAGTATGAATACTTGTAAGTAAAAAGTGTGCTAGATTATTTAATGCATTCAGGATTGCGTGAATGAAGACTGTGTGGAACTTTAAATTTACTTATCTCTTAAGTGTTTATTATGATAGCTTACATGGTGTCAGTCTGTGGCAGAACCAGTAGGATCCTTGTTTTAAATACAAGAGAGATCTTTCTCCCTTTTGGCAGAACCTGCCCAGCTGAATATTGCCAGAAATTATGTGCTTGATTAGACACTTTTACAGGTCATGTAACGGAGCCATTTCTGCTCAGTTCCTTAGGTAACGTTTGAAAACAAAAGCAAGCTGCCATTTGAACTTGAAGTGTATTGGTTGTCCAGCCAGTTCATTTCTGTGTCTTAAACCTGAAACATTTTACATCAGAAGCCACCCTAGGTCCCTCTATACTGTTAGTTACAGAACTCCTATGAAATAAGCAGGCATGGAGGAAGTTGACAAAGTGCCTTCTAAATAAATGGTGACACATTAAAGGATTGATTTCTTCTAAAAGAGCTTGTATTTCTCACTTATTTTCCTAGAATTAGTAGGATGTAACCAGTTATTCCTCCAGTTGAGCGGCTGTTTGATGCCCATATTTATGTACAAGGATTGTGTGTGCTTGGGGAAAAAAAGCCCTTTTTTCAGTTACCCAAGTTTTTTGCTGTAACCTTTCTGTATGAGCTCTTAGCAGTTAATATCTTCCTGTTTAAATTTAGATTTTAAATTTATATAGAGAATCTTCTCAGTATTCTTTCCTTTGGTTCTCTTAAGATTAAGGGACATGCCTAATTCAGGCAGTATAGCTTTGAGTGAGGTTGGAGAAACACTATGGTTTTAATTGCATTCACCTGTACGTTTGTTGTTTTTGTTTTTTTTTTTTTAATTTGGACTTTCTATGTCCAGAGGATTGGTTATGCAAAACTGGTATTTTTAGCTTCTAATAATGAAGTCATCTCCCTAGCCAGTGGCTCTTGAGAGAAACCAGATTCTGCAAATAACACTGCTTCCTGTTGTTCCTGTTGCTTCCTACTCTAACTCAAACAGAGAAGCTGTAGGTAACGTTTTGCCATGTTTACTGATGCTGATCTTTAATATCCAGATATTTTTGAAGGTCTGTGTTCTGTTCTGAAGTACAACTTGATTGTGTACTTTGGAGTTTAAGAATCATTTTGCCTTCTTGCCCCCATTTGTGTACCCGGTATCTTTGTATACAAAGGAAAGAGCAGAGAACTCGGTCATTTTAGCTGTTTGTTGCTGGTGGTAGTAACAGCACTGTTTATTTTCATTTTCAGTCATAAACCAAAGAAAGGGTTGTATGTTAGAGCTGGAAGATGTGATAAGATATTGGGTGCTCGGCTGTTTGAATAAGATTTGAAGACCAGCTTGCAGAAATCTGAAATTTAGGGAACTGGATTTACAAAGGATGCATATTTGTCTTTGAGAGCCATATTTAAATCAGATACTCATTAGGGGTAGGTACCCTAAAAGCACAGGCACATGAAAGAACAAATCATAGCTTTATCTTAAAAGATACAGTTTGACTTAATGGTTGCTGGCCATTTGTATAAGATACCAGCATAGTGATAACTGAAAATCCTGGTTTTGACATAAATTAAAATAGTATGCTGAGCAGGTGACTGACAGAAGTTGCAGAAAGATCTCTTCACTTTTTTTTTTTTTTATTATTACTATTCTGTGATAGTTCTCTGCATTCTTTTCTGAGTGTGACTTCAACTTTTGGATTTTTTTTTTTTATTGAGCTCGAGCAAATTTTTTTAACGCTATTTGGATTTGAGAATCATAGGGGAAGGCTGTTTCTCACTATGTAAAACTTGTGAAAATAGGGCAAGCCTTTTGTATGCCAAATTTCAAAGTGTAATAATTCTTAATTCCCGGACTGTGGTTTTGCTGAGCTTAAAAATTAATTGAAAATAGCTTTTGTCTTAAATGTTTCATGTTCTGTTCTTTTTTTCTGGTGTGCTTTCTTCTCAGGTTTTTAGCAGAATACCATGATGATTTCTTCCCAGAATCTGCTTATGTAGCTGCATGTGAAGCCTACTACAGTACTAAAAATCCTCGGGCGATCTACTGAAGCTATTAATAAAGATTAAATTGTGCTATATGTAGCCCATGACAATGCTATTTTGCCACGTGGCTACAAGGTGAAGATGAAAAAAGAATTAAAACCACTCCTGGAGTTGAAGAAATAGAGAAATACCCTCTGTGATGGTTGGATTACTTAGGAATGGAGAACTTCTTTTTCTGAGATGTATATAGACTGTGTTGTGGGTTGCTCAGAGGATTAAATATAACTCTGACTCCAGATGAATGAAGAAGCCTTGTTCTGACTTCTAATGCATAGGACTGCGTAGGACTATTAAAGAGGAAGGGAGGCAAAAGCAGATGCATTAGCAACAGGACATTTTCATGAAGATAAATCATCATACTGTGTTTCATTTTAGCTGGACCTCTCCAGCTTGAGAAATAAGACTTGACTACACAGTTACATGAAGAGAATGCATAACTGGTACCTTATGGATTTTTTCCTCATAAATTGCACTTAATTTTGTGGAACTGTTGTGATAGAAAAGATTGCTTAATGTAAAGGTGTTTTTGCTGTTTGGCTAACATGACAACTGCCTCAAGAATGACTTTGTTGCTTGAATGAAAGATATGTTGCTTACTATGCATTTTGCAAAGATACAGCTCTTTTCATGGTAATGCTGCCAAAGTTCCAAGGAGAGCATACATTGCCAGTGATTCAACATTTACCTGGCAATAAAAGATTTCCAGAGCCATTATGAAAGAACTGATTTTCTACAAATAACCGGAGAAGTCAATAAAGTGATGGCAGTTTAACTGGCAAACACTTCTTTTCTTAATAAAGTTCATAGTGACTGCTGTGTAAATGTGTGATTTTGACTGTCTAAAATGTCTTGTTTGTGCTTGATTAGTATTTTTGAGATTGCTAAGTGTGCATGTAATGAATTGGGAGCATTGACCAATGTAGGGAAAGAAGCCCTTTCTGTATTGTTGGATTTTCTGCTACAGACTTGAAGGATGTCTCTTCAGACAGTTTTAAACACTTGAGCTCTGGAAATAGGAATTCGGTGAGAACTGAACGCATTCAGTAGAAACTGAAATATAATTCTTGTCTTGTCATCAAAACATTATCCATGACTTAGAACTCTGGCCTTCAGAATCCTCTGCTGTGTCAAGAGGAACACTTTAAAAGCACTGTGAGAAAATAGGACTCAAGGCTCCTAGACTACTGCATTAATCATTCTGTAATCCTTCCTAGCTCAGAAAACCTCCCTTAGAACACTTAACCTGTAATGCAAAACTCAACATGTTCCTCCTAGATTTGCAGAAACTAGTAATTAGGAGGAATCATCTTTCAAATGTAAATGGTAAGCTTAGTCTAAGAGGCCAGAGGAAGTACGAAGTCTATTCTTGGCATTCCTTGTCACTCACTTTTCAGAGTGTACTGGTGTGTTAAAGCTTTTGAAGTGAAAAGATGAGGATTACCTTGAGTTGATGGCGCTTTAGAACTTCTATAAAGCATCTGTTAAATGTAGTGCTTGTTAAACAAATGTTTGGTGTGGATGCGTGGAGACTTGGTGGTCACTATTTCTAAAGATTGCCATTTAGTAGTACTATTTTTTAATGCATTTCTGTTGTACCAAAAATATTTGTAAGCTTTAGTCTTTCTCAAATTACAGAAGTTTTGAATCTCTAGCAGAATCTAAGTAGCTCAAAATCCACTTTGCAAACGTGTTTCATTCTGGGCTTAGACTGTGTTTTTCAAAAAAGACAATTCAACAAATTATTAATGACTGTCTAACAAGAGATTAATCTTGGAATGTTGTCTGAAACTCCATCCTTAATCCTTTCTATATTGCAGGAATGTTGCAGTGTATATAATACAGCAAATCTGGTTTTGTTCCACTGTTGGTACCTATGAGTATCAGGCAAGTTATGAAGAGGGTTTAAACCTTGTTATGTGTCTGTGTTTAACTGTTAAAATGACAATTTGTGCATGCAGGGGTTATTAATGCTGTCTGATTGCCTTGTTGATACATTGTGATGATTCTCAAAAGACGTGAGGGGGGAAAGAATTCTGAAGTTGGTGTAGTTGTTACGTGAACAAACTTTTTTGCAAATTTGAAGCTGCTGTTGGATATAATACTGCAAACTATCTTGCTCTCATAACAACCAAAAAACTTCTCAAAAGTAGCACCCTTTTGCGCTTCTTGACACTTTTAATTGACGTGACTTCCTTGGACACTATCTCTTTGAGAAGTAAGTTTAGGTTTATATATTCAGTTGCAGTAATATGCATCTTTGACACCCCCCTTCCCTGCTATCACTACTCTTACTGCTTTCCTATTCTCATACCTGGTTTTGTTATTGTTGTTTTTCATTTGTGGTTTTTTTTTTTTTTTTAAGCTGAAGCAGTACAAGAGACTTGCAAAAACTTGAGCCAGATTGCATAAGAGGGTAGTCCTTACTAGTCTTAAAATATATAGAGTCTTACCAGTGTGGCCCCCAAAATTCACTTTGAATGGAATGTTCAAGGGCTCACGTGGCTAAGGAAAGCTTAATGGTATAGTTATATGGCTGGTGTGATTCTATAACTCTGAATGTCCTTGACTGGTCAGATATTTGATGGGATTCATATCCATCTGAACTGATGAAAGAGGTTTCTGCACGTAGCTGTCATTCGTTGGTCACTGTTTGTAGAGCTACTCATATCAATGTTTACTAGCCTGATTCAGTCAAAATGGCTTATGTCAGCTGAAGAAATGTGAAAAACTGACTGAAGCAGGGTAGGGAGCGTTCACATGAGCAAGCCTGCCAGCAGACTTCAGAGACAGTCTCCTGCAGAGGAGGAGCTGAGCTGAGAAAGCAGGTTAATGGGCAGTAATAGCTTACACTGGTATAGATGCTTGCGTAACTCACATGTGCTCTGGTTCCGAATTAAGTTTTTTTGTGTGTGTGTATTTAAGGAAATTGTACCAGTGTAATTATAGTGCATGCTTAAACTGGTAAATCTCTCTGCTGAAGGCGAGTCTTTGCACTTGCCTTCAAGAGTAGGCGGCTCCAATGTGGGGTGTGGTGCAGGGATTCGAATATGACTGGATTTGGGAGAAGGCAGCAGAGAGCGATCACAGCCTCGGATTAGAAGCAGGTAATGCAGCTGACGTGGCGTGTAAAGCGTCCTGCTGTGTACGTACCCGAGGGGCTCAGTCTGCCCAAATAATACTGATTTCAGTACCTGCTCTGACTTTGTCAGCATGAAGGTACCCGGAAAACTTGGCACTGTGCTACAGAAGTATGAAACTGACTGTATGTAAAGATTACAGCGCTTGTCACCTGGAAATACTGTGTGCAGTTTTGGTCCCTGCTATACAAAAAAGATGTGGACAGGCTGGAGAGGGTCCAGAGAAGGGCCACAGAGATGATCAAGGGACTGGGAAGCCTGTCGTGTGAGGAGAGGCTGAGAGAATTGGGATTCTTCAGCCTTGAGAAGAGATGGCTTAGGGGAGACCTTATCACCATGTTCCAGTGTTTAAAGGGTGGCTACAAAGAAGATGGAGACTCCCTTTTTACAAGGAGTGACATGGGAAAGGTGAGGGGTAACGGGTAGAATTTACTCCTGGGGAGATTCTGATGGGACACAAGTGGAAAATTCTTCACAATGAGAAAAATCAACCACTGGAATAATATCCCCAGGGAAGTGGTGAATTCCCCAACTCTGCACACTTTGAACATTCAGCTGGACGGGGTGCTGGGCCATCTTGTCTAGACCGTGCTTTTGCCAGAAAGGTTGGACCAGATGATCCTTGAGGTCCCTCCCAACCTGGTATTCTATGATTACCAAAGAAGAATGTATTAACAGAATGTAACTTTAATATTCTTCCATTTTATTCCTAATTTTAGGCTTTGCTTTGTACCTATCATGCTTCCATAAAAAAAAAAAAAATCATACTGTTCTTTCATGTGCACTATCTGGAGTTGCTGCATTGCCTTTCATTTTGCTACTGTGTTGCTGTTTTTCAAGCTCCTGTTTCAAAGCTCATGTAGTGTCTGCTGTCCTCTGAGATCAGAGGCAGATGTGACCAAGTGCTAATTCAGAGTATGTTCCATGTCCTGTTCTGAAGCAAGTTTATGCAGATGATGTTAGGGTTTCCCTTGGCATTTGGTGTGGGCTAACAGCACGTGTGTGGTCAGCCGTTATGTTGGAAATGTTTAGTGGGAACTCGCCAAACAGTAGTGGAGGATGACCTTGCTCTTGCTTATGCTGAGAGGAATGTCTGCAGTCAGTGAGAAAATAAAAAGCTGATTGGAAATAAAAAGCTGTTACTGCTTTTCATATTTGCATCATAAAAAGTGTTACCAGGATGTTTGGGAAATACTCTGGGGAGATTGTTATTGAAGTTAATATATATATGTATATATTAAATCCTTTATTACTTGAAAATTATACATTTTCTTCTCTGGATTCTTAAGCATGTCTCCCCAAAGTATGTATACTGGGGTGGAAATAAGCTTTTCAGGGCAGGGGGGAACCTGAGTCTCAAGTCAAGCCTTTACTGTCATAGTTAGCTGTACAAAAGCACAATGCTGACAGCTCTTGGACAGACAGCCACATCTTAGCTTTTGGCCTGGTGCATGTTTGATTGCTTTTAATTTCTTGACCTATTAACAGCTGGAAAGCAAGTTTGCCCTTCCAAGCACACAGAGTCTACTCTCTAAATTCAAGGAGAAAATGTGAAATAGCAGCAATACAAGCATACTTAAGCCAAATGCATCAAGAAGTATATTTTTGTACTGTAGACTGTCTTTTGTGATATGAAGTGATTGCATTTAATTGCATTAACAATTTACCTATTTATTTTTCAGTGTAAATATCTCTCAGTGTAATGAGGTTCCTTGGAACAATGGTTCCAGATGATACGTTACTTTCATAATGTGTTTGACAATAATCAGTACAACCTTTATGTGTTTACATAGTAAATTCTTCCACTTGCTTATGAAACAATGAATCTGGAGGGGTTTTAAGTTTTTTATATATTTACATCATTTCTCTGCATGAGATTAGTACCTGTATTCACTAGACTTCTCCAGTCAGAGGTACCAGTGTTTTAGCAGTCGCAATCGCGAAGAAAACTCATCTACACAAAGTAGATAAGCAGGCATTTCTTTATTCCAGTGGTGGGGAACACGGGGGATAGCTCCACCGAAGACATGTTCACCAACAGGTACAAAGCACAACATACTTTTACACTTTTTTAACAGGGTCATGGTTACATAAGTTTCTTTACATAAAAATGAATAGAATGCTTGCTTCTTAATTTGACCTTTATAATGATTGGCTTTATCAATTACCTCACCTTATCCATACTTCTAAGTAATCATTGGTAACATCTCTGATGGTAATCCTTGATATTAAAATCAAAGAGGGGAGGGTAGTGATTAGCATATATGTGTTATTTCCTGGAAATCATTATCATATGCAAATGTCTCTAACACATACATGGTTATGTTGGATGGGGGTTCTCTGGTAGTCGTTGATTTTCTTCTTCACTGTGCCCACTGATTGAACTCCATCCTTGCGCATGCTCATTTCTTACTTTGGCTGATCTCTTCTGGTACCCATTCTTTTAATTCAGAGTCCGTAACTATTTCCATAGTAATCAAGGCAAACACAATGCTAGTTGCTCATTCCTAAGATCTTAACATCTCCTATATTCTCATAGCTACTCTATATCACGCATATAACCAAAAATCAAAATCATATTCTAAAATTCAAGCTATTTCATTAGGATATTTGTAACAAATGTAGTGTTTCTGCCTCAATTTTTGGTGTTTTTTTTACTTCAACAACCACCTCACCCTCCCAACT